CTCCCGTGTCTGGCTTTGTACATGGGTTCTGGGGACCTGAACTCCGGTCTTCACAGTTGCTGACAAGCACTTTCCTGACTGAGCCACATCCCCAAGCCCCTTCTTCCTCCCCTTCTTCCCTCCATCCCTATGGCCTTCCGTCTGTCTGTAGGGTATCACTACGTAGTCTAGGCTGGCCTTGAACTTGCTGCGATCTTCTTGCCTCTGCCTCCTATTTGCTGGCTTTACAGCTCCTCACTGTCCTCTTGGGCTCCTTTCTCTCTGTCCTTCCTTCTCTGTGAATAAGTGTCTGAAGTCAGGCACAGACAGAGGCCATGGCCAAGCGTCCCAGAGAGTCTGGCATCTTCGGTAACTTCCTTTGCCTTGACAAGTGTGTGAAACCAGGGTGACCAGAGAAGACATCCCTCCCCGCCTCAGAGTTCTCCATTGTTTTCCTCTCCTGGGTTTCAGACAGTTTCGGGTGTAGCCCTGCTGGTTTTCTGCTCTTAACTCTAGGGGTCAAGAGGTAACAGTGAGGACTTTGGGCCTCTTGGGGACAGTAAGACACCATTTGTGTTTCGGGGGACTGTAAAGACAAAGTTAGTGGGTGGAGTGGGTTTCCTCACGCCAGAGATCAGGGGGACGGGGTTCTGACACACGAACCAGATCTGCAGACACCGCTAGCTGGGCCCCTGGCTTCTCCCACTGCTCTGGTAAACTGAATAAGCTTGGATCCCCTGCTGTCTATTCTGTAAAGTAGGAGGGGGGGACAGCCCCTCGCAGATAGGTTATGATGGTTAAATACAGCAGTACAGACGAAGATCCAGAGCCGGGTGTGGTGGTTCCCGCCTATAATCTCAGCCCCCAAAGACTGAGGTTGGACTGGTGTCAATCCAAGGCTAGCCGGAGCTACATCGTGAAAACCAAGCCACCCTAGGGTACCTAGTAAGATCCCGTGTCAAAACACCAAGAGTCAGGCCAACACACAAACACACACAGGATCTTGGTGCATGGCAGCTGGGGTCAACAAGCTTGGAGTGGAGGAGCAGGCAGGTAGGGTGCTTTCACTGAGAGTGAAAAAAAAAAAACAGAACAAGGCCTCTCGGGGATCTTGATAGCCAAAGAAGACCAGAAACGGGTGTCCCCTAAGGTAGTATGCCGCATTGCCCCTGGGGCCTGGGATATTTTCATGAGGAGGCTCTGATCCGGAGACTGGGTTATGCTTGTCCCGCCCCGCTGTCAGCCAGCCAGTAGCTGGTGTGAAGTAGGGACCCAGACATGCTGACTGTCCATGGGAAGGTGTCCTGGGAATAGCCAGAGACGAGGAAGCTAAATTAGATGTGGTAATGGGTAAACACTTTAGACGAAGGCAGGAGAATTGTGTGCTAAAGTCCAGCCTGGAGAGATGGCTCAGAGGTTAAGAGCACTAACTGCTCTTCCTTTGGATTTCAATTCAGTCCCCAGAACCCACATCAGGTTGCTCACTACTGCTTGTAGCTCCAGCTCCAGAGGATCCCACCCCCCTGCCTTCCAAGGGCAACTGTGCTTATGTTCACACGCACACACGAAGTAATAATAAAATAGCTTTTAATCCCAGCACTCAGAAGCAGAGGCAAGAGGATCTCTGTGCGTTTGAGGCCAGCCTGGTCTACATAATGAGTTCCAAGACAGACAAGACTACATAGATCCTGTCTCAAAAACAAAACAAAACAAAACAAAAAACAAAAAAACACTGAAGAAATAAAGAAATAGAGAGATGGGCATGAGAGACGTAGGGAGGGAGGGAAAAGGAGGGAGAGGTGGAAGGAGAGAGAAAGAAATAGCGTCATTAAACCAAATGCCCCTCGGTTGGGATTCAAATACTAAATTACTAGCTGCTTCCTACGCCAACTCTGGCTGAGACCAGGATCCAGTTTCTTAGCCCTAGGGGAATCCCAGACACCCAAGGATGCCTTGGGGCCTTCTGAATCAAGACACAGGCCTGGAGAGGAAGCCGGCAGTTAGGAACACAGCCAGACACCTCCAGTGTCTTTCAGGGTAGGCTGAGTTTCAAGACAGGGAGGGCAGCGGAAAACTGTGGCCCACACCCTCCCGCTCCAGCCTCCCTCTGCCTCCTCCGGGGTACATGCTTCTTGTGCCTCCAGAGACAGGGTAAGCAGGAGGCCTGCAGTCCATACTCAACAGGGGCGGCTGGTGGCACTGCCCGGTCAAGTGTATCTTGGGAAGTCTTTGGTGCTCTCAGAGTCTGTGGAAGGCTGAGTAGAATTAGGGAATTTGGGGGTTCTGGTCCCCCCCAGGGCTTCACATGGGGCCCAAGAGCTAGCAAGAATCGTAAGTTCCAGGAGTCAGCTGTTTTCCCGGGCCCTGTGTGGAAGGGCATGTGGGGAGGAGTTTCGCGGTGCTCTTGGCCATGTGCTCGGTCTGACTCCCCGGCAGACGGCAGGCGCTCTGCTCTTTCCTCAGGATACCTTGCTGGTGTTCAGAGGCGTGTCGGGTAACGGTGCCCAGAGATGTAGAAAGGGCCTGGAGGAGACCCCTTAACAAGGGACTCTCTTCTTACAAAGAAGAGAGAGCCTCCGGGGGTTAGGGGTTGGGGGTGGCGGCTGTACAAGAGGATCTCCAGGTTGAAGGAACCTTCCATTTGGAACACAGGGGCACCTGGGGTCCCAATCTTTACAAACCACATTCCTGGAGGCTGGAGGCTAGAGAACAAGAGCCTTTAGCCGCGGTTCTCAGCCTGTGGGTCACCACCGTGGAAAGAACCCGGATTTCTGATGGTGTTAGGAACCGAGACACCACTCAGTAACAGGATGCCGGTTGTGAAGTAGCCATGAAAATAGTGTTATGGTTGGGGGTCACCACAGCACGAGGAGCTGTATTAAGGGCTCGCAGCGTTAGGAAGGTTGAGGACCGCCACATGGGTCTTTCATCCAGGACCTGCAGCTCCCTCGCTCTTGACAGGTTTATGTGCAGACGAGTCAGAACCCCAGGAGGTGTCCTGAAAGTGACTGGCTTCAGTGGGACCAAAAGCCCCCTCACATTAACAACCCAGTGGCCTTGGTGTGTGGCTAGGCCAGGGATTGTTCCGTGGGTGTAAAGACAAAGACCCCCCTCGGGGAAAGAGTTGACAAGTTACCTTCAAGTGACACTGGAGGTGTGAACCCTCCAGCGCTGGGACCTTCCTTCCTGCCCAGGGGTCATTCTGTTCCTGTTGTTTTCCCAAGCTTTTCCCCTTTGCCTTTTCCCTGTTCTGGGTGCACAAGCTTTTCTGTACTCTCTCCCTGCAGAGGCAGGTCTGAGAATGAGGCCACTTTGGGGAATCATGTCTCCACAGACAGTTTTGTTTGTTTGTTTGAGACAAGGTCTCTATGTAGTCCTAGCTGTCCTGGAACTCTTTATGTAGACCAGGCTGGCCTTAAACTCAGAGATCTTCCTGTCTCTGCCTCCAAAGTGCTGAGATTAAAGGCATGTGCCACATTGCCTGGCACCTCTGGACAGTTTTTGAGGCAATCTACCCATGCCACCAGCCTGAGACCAGATCCTAACTGAACCTGGTGAACAACCAGGCTCCCCTGAACACTCCGTCAGTCCAGTCCCTTTCATGTGACCTTGGCTGGAGAGACAGGGCTCCCAATAACCAGAAATACACTATTATCCCACAGTTGTTGGGGGATCCCAAACCGTCTGCCATGTTGGTGAGACTCCAAAGCGTTCTTGGAGGTTGGTCCAGGCTTTAAAAAAAAAAATCAGGCAAAAGGAATATAGGTGTTAAACAGAGCACTTGCCTAGTTGACATGAGGCTCTCTAAAAGAGAAAACAACTTTGGTTAAGGTTTAGTGGTGCAGGCCTTTAATCCCCAGCGGGAGGCAGCGGCAAGCTGATTTCTGTGAGTTTGAGCCCCAGCCTGGTCCATAGGGTGAGTTCCAGGACGACTACACAGAGAGACGCTGTGAAGTCACGTGGTGGTGTTGGCCTGTAAGCCCAGCCCTTCCTTAGCTGAGGCAGAAGGGTGCAGAGCTTGAGGAGAGACTGAACTACCTAATGAATTCTGGGCCAGCCAGGGCTGCTCTCACAGATTCCATCTCAAAAAGAGAGGAAGTAGGAGGCAAAAGAGAGAGCTGTGTAGAATTGGGTTTGCCCGGTTCCTTCATGCATTCTAATGGAGACTGCCTTGGTGGACTGGGTTGGGGGGGCGGGTGCAAGCTGGATTATTCAGGGGCTAAGAAGGGAAAATAGAAACTGTGTGTGTGTGTGGGGGCACTCCTTACGCTGGTGAAGTCTGTGAGTTTGAGGCCAGCCTGGTTATAGAGTGAGTTCTAGGACGGCCAGAGCTACAGGGAGAAAAAAACCAAAAAAAAAAAAAAAATAAAAAAAAAAAAAAAAAAAAAAAAAAATCCCCCCACCCTCCCAAAAAAAGAGAAAATAGAGAGTCAAGAAATCACACTTTAGATAGGGCCTCCAATACCAAGCCTGGACCTCAGGTAAAAAAATCAACAACCGTCTACCTGGTTGGTGCCTTTGATCAAACTGTCCCTCTTTGCTCCAGTTAGAAGATTTGGCAGTCTTGGTAAGGGTGAAGAACTGAGGATCCCACGCTTAAACTTCACAACTCATTAGGGTTGGAGGGACTGAAAGGGGCTAAAAGCCTCTTTTACTGCCGGTGCCTGAGGTGAGGGAGGCTGCATGCTTGGGACAGGTAAATTGTCAGCCTCCATTTATTGTCAAGGTAAGGAAGGTTGGCCAGATATTTGAGGAGGGATGGTTAGCATCTTGTCACCTTTAGGCCAGCAATTTGCAAAGCACAGGGTGTGAGATTTGAAGTTTACGAATGCAAAAGTTTCTTGGCACTCTGAAGTCGGGCGGAAGGCTGTTCTGGGTGGCTGCTACGGGTCTGGCCACCCTTACCTCTCTCTCCCCGACGCCTTAGCTGCAGACACGCCCATGCGCCCCGCCCACTAGGCCGGCGCCCCGCCCACCTTCTCACCTGGCTTAGGACTGACTCCCGCGCTTTGTGTCCACAGGCTGCTGAACCGAATGTCCTCCGAAGATCGGCACCTGGGCTCCAGCTGCGGCTCCTTCATTAAGACGGAGCCATCCAGCCCATCCTCGGGCATTGATGCCCTCAGCCACCACAGCCCCAGCGGCTCCTCGGACGCCAGCGGCGGCTTTGGCATGGCCCTGGGCACCCACGCCAACGGTCTGGACTCGCCGCCCATGTTCGCAGGCGCGGGGTTGGGAGGCACCCCGTGCCGCAAGAGCTACGAGGACTGTGCCAGTGGTATCGTGGACGACATCAAGTGCGAGTACGTGCTCAACGCCATCCCCAAGCGTCTGTGCCTCGTGTGCGGGGACATTGCCTCTGGCTACCACTATGGCGTGGCCTCCTGCGAGGCCTGCAAGGCATTCTTCAAGAGAACCATCCAAGGTGCGTGCGTGCGTGCGTGGGTGCGTGCGTGGGCTGGTGGGCGCTGCAAGGCTGTGGGTGGGGACTCTGTCCTGAAAGGTCCAGCATGGTTTATTTTCTTAAATTCAAAATCTGGGTTCCCTGGGAGCAGAAAGCTCTCTGGAGGACTCTGTTTCGTGTCTCAATGTTTCTCACCCAGGAAGTCTAGACAGAGGGTTCTAACTGTAAGATTGTAGATGTACCGTGGTCCTCCCTGCTGCACCCCTGAAACACCGAAGAAAAATCCATGCCAATACCCAAGCCTGAATCATGCCAAATGCTCGACTCTTCCCTCCAAAAGTTTATTTTGGGCCGGGGGGGCGGGGGGGAAGATAGGTGTTCGCATCATTCGCCCCACCGGTCCAGACTTGTGAACTAGAACTCTAAAGGGTCTCTTTGTTTTTATCTTAATTGTAGAAAGGTAGGCCTGTCCTCAGTGGCCTGGAACTGGCAGCTATCCTGTTTACCTTAGGCTATTTTTCAGTGCATTTGCATATCACTTCAGTCACCTGCTGGTGGCCCTGGGGTAGACACCTCTCTCATCTTGATTAAGGTGTTCAGGAATCCTGTTACTTCCGGCTGTGTAGGTAAGTGGAGGATAACGGTGGCCCTGCCCTCACTGGGCAGTCTCCCCCGCGGCCCAGAGGGACCGGGAGAGATTCTAATCCCGTCAGGTGTAGTGTAGAACACTTGCCTTCAGTCACTAGTCAGGCTGACTGAGTGCCTACTAAGCACCGTCTGTACAGGTAACTGAGAAGTGCTGATTCCGATCTGGACAGAGCGCCAGTCAGCTGGAGGAAACCCCGGGGGGTGTTGCCTGTGTCTCCCAGTCTGGCTCCTCCCCCCACTGTGCTCAGCCTTTTGGCTTCAAAGGTGTTCTGTTCCAGTGTTCTCCCTTGACCACTTCGGAAGAAGCTGGCCAAGCTTCCCTAGGATGATACTGTTGATTCAACAGATTTTTATTTGTTAATCTCCTCAGATAACAATCTCGTAGACCAATTGAGGGCATTAAAGGTTAGATACGTTTACAATGCTACTTGAATCCATTGAAAGTCCAGGCTAACCCACCAAGCTCCTGCCTCAGACTCTTGAACCATTCGTTTCCTTACCTGTGAGGTCAAACTCAGCTTCCTCGTGCGCCGTATGAAGTGGATTTTTCTCTTTAGGGTCCTCTGTAGGGTCAATTCAGTGTGTCAACAAGGCTGGCCTTGACCTCGGTCCTCCTGCTTCTTCCTCCCAGATGTCCACCTGCTGGGATTAGAGGCATGCTCTATCCCTACCACAGCTAGTGTGTGGGGTGTGTGTGTGTGTGTGTGTGTGTGTGTGTGTGTGTGTGTCTGTCTGTCTGTCTGTCTGTCTGTCTGTCTCGCTTTTTTTCCCTATACCCTGTTGGAAATTGAACCTAGGAACTGATTGTGTACGTGTGTGCTTGCCAACCAGAGGACAGCTTGCTGAAGTAGCTTCTCTCCTACCCTGTGGGTCCCTGGGATGGAGCTCCCGTCATCAGCCTTGGCCCCTAGCTTGGCGTTTCTTGCTATTTTTACTTGAACAGTGTCGCCTACTGTATACACTTTTGCTGTGACAACAAGTGTAATCTGTTGGATCATATAGGAAAAGCTTTTTAATCAGCATATATTTCAATAAGGTAGTATAATTATTTTGACCTAGTAAGATTTAGATGACTAAACTATTTTCGGGCCTCTGAGATTGCTCAGTGGGAAGAGTCTGCCACCTAGCCTAATGACCTCTCAGTCCCTGTAACCCACATGGTGGATAACTCCTGACCTCCACGTGGGCACTGTGGTACTCATGCCCACAAAATAGATAGAATGTAATTAGCCTATAGTAGTCATGAATAAAGATATTTATTTGGTGTTTTGTGACAGGGGCTTACTATGTAGCCTTGGCTCTCCCAAAACTCAAGAGATCCACCTGCCTCTGTTTCTGGAGTACCGGGAATAAAAGCATACACTAATATATCTGGCCGTGAGTAATACTTTAAGCAAACCCATTTTAAAAACATGTTAAAATGAAAGTGTCCAAAGTGTTAAGGCACGTTTTTTGTCACCACCGGCACCACCCCTCCCGGCTGCAAATGTACTGAGCATCTTGTAGATCAGGCTCTGAGACAGATGAATGCCTCCAGGCCTGGCTGCTTTTTATTCCCCGCTTTGGTGCTGGGGGTGGAACCCAGGACCTGGTGCATATGGGCATCTGCAGCTTTATCCCCTTGGCCTTGGGTGGAAGGAACCTGGGCTCTATATGAAATACTTTGTGCTCTATATGAAATACATTGTGTAGCAGATAGTTCTGCCTTTTGCTTCAGCCATGGCAGAGAACTAGCAGCTCAATGAAATCTTACAGATCAGCGGATGTTGGCCATGGAAGAGATGTTTAAATCCGTGTATGTTACTGAAACCCTAGGTTTTTCTTCCTAAATTGGGACGTGGCCTTCCAGGCTTGTTGTTTTAGACACAGCTTTTTGAAAATGGGATTTTAGAAGACAGCATCCCCCCCCCCCTTTTAATGGTGTCTTTAAATGGAACAGGAATGTTCTAGATCAGATTTTCTGGAAGCCGAGGCTGGTGTGTACAGACCCAGAGCCTCTGCCACCCCCTCCACCAGGTGGCCAGGAGTGTCTTAGGGAAGATCTGTAAACAGTATTAATTATGTGCTACCATGAAAAGGATACAGATCTCTTCCTAGAAGTTGGCTGAATGCTGTGGCCCTTATCTCCAGGAGAGGTCTGAGCTCATTACCTGGTGGGAGAGTCTTCTCTCCAGAACAGTGGAAAGCTAGTTTGAGGCCGGAAGTTGGCCGGATGCTCTCCTTAGTAACTCTGGGGTTTCAATCTCTCAAAGATTGCAATCATGGCCTAGCCCTAGCAGGCCGGCTCTTCCCCCGCCTCTACCCCTCAAGTACTGGAATAACAGGAACTCTCCACCGTGGTTTTCGTTGTTTCTAAATGCAGTCAAACAGCAAAAGAATGAAGTAATGATTTGTTAAGTTCCTGCTCTGCATAAGGTGCAGAGTGGAGCCGGGAGAGGTGGGGATGTAGATCATGTCTTCAACAAAGCCGAATTCAGTGCTGAATGCTCAGGGGGGTCTGTAGTCTTCAGGCATGGCAGTAGACTCCAGACCAGAGCATCTTTCTCCTGACCAGGGAGATGGGGCCATTTTCTTTTGTGTGTATGGTCAGGGAAAGGTGTTTTCGGTATGAGGCAATGTGTGTTTGTGTGTTTGTTTGTCCAACTTTTGAGACCTAGTTAGCCCAGAATTTACTGTGTAGTCCAGGCTGGCCCCGAATTCACAGATCACCAGCCTCTGCCTCCTGTGTGTGTGTGTGTGTGTGTGTGTGTGTGTGTGTGTGTGTGTGTGTGTGTGTGTATTAAACCACTGGGCCAAACTGGAACCTAATCTACTGAACTACAACTCAGACCATCTTTTAAAGGTCTGGTTTTGTGGGCTGGGCGGAGTGGTATAAGCCTTTGACTGAAGTACAGGGGAGGCAGTGGGAGGCCAGCCGGGTCTGCATAACAAGTTCTAGGTCAGCCTGGGCTACACAGGGAAGGTTTAGTCTGTGGATCGATTCCCAAGCAAACTTCTGTAGGCTCTGAGCGCCATAGCCATTCCAACGCTGTCATCCCTTCCTGTCAGAAATTTCTGTCTGCTCCATCACGGATGGGAGTTTGCAGAAACTAGGATGTCACGACAGTTGTCTGGAGACAACTCCTGGAGGTCCATTCTCTGAGTTTCGCCGAGCAGGTGGGGAGAAGAGAGGGTTGTGGGGAGGTGGGCGAATCAGCCTGCCTCCAGATTTTGTAAAGCAAGTAGAGCTGGGACCCAGACAAATCCAGCATGTACTTGTCGTCTCTGGCTGCTCCTAACACGTGACTGAGCCGGGGCAGCTGGATGTTGGGCCACAGATTCCTAGACTTCCTACCCACCCCTTAGAGAGCCATGCGCCGTCAGTCTCCCGGCTTCCTTCCACAGTGGTGTGAGTGGGATGTCTCCACCACCTCTGACAGGATTCATTGTTAGTGGAGCAAGCTTGCAGAGCTGGGGGCTGTGGCGGCCTTGCCCAGAATAGATGAGCTCAGAGATAGGCCGAGGCACCTTACTGACGGACATGGTGGCTCCTGGCACAGGGAAGACAGCAGTCTGATTGAATTTATTAGCATATCTAAAGGGCGGCTTGGGACTACCCAGGAGGATAAGCCTGCCCTGGGAGCAGAGAAACTGGCAGAGGTGCCTACCTGCCCAGGAAAAGGGACGCCGAGGCAAGGGACAGCGCGATGGGATTAAACATCCAGCCGATCTGATTAATAGCTTTCTGATTATGACCTCATTTCCCTCTCAGTCAAGTTGTGAACTTGCTAGTCGGGTAGACAGATCCATTTCTTTAGGCGTTCTTTCTGCCTTGGTATCTCTGGGGCTTCAGGCTTTGAACTTGGGCGGAGGGGGTCTGCCCCTCACAGACAGCCCTTTTCTGTGACAGGCAGTATCTACTTTTAGGGGTCTTAGGGCTGAGTGTGGGTTTCTAGTCTGTGATACTGATTCCTCACTAATTAAAGCTGTAGACATGAGGTTTTCTGAGGAGAAACTCCAGGGTCTTGTCCATTGACCTCGACCACTCTTTACAGTGACTACCTACCTTTCCGCTGGGTGTGGGTCCTTCCATCAAGAGCTACCAGTTCTCAGACAAAGTCCCCTCAACCCTCACCTCTGGTCCCGATTCCCTCCTCCTCTCAGTGTTTTTTTTAATGGTGATGGTACAGTTATCAGTGATGACGCACGTAGACTTCATCCATCACCAGCCCTTATGATGTCACGGACACTGTTAGCAGAGCTTTGAATCCCTGAGAAGACAATAATCTTGGAAGGGACAAGCTTCCTTTCCCCGAACCCAAGGTGCCTCATAGCTCCTGGCCTGCAGGAAGTTCAAAGTGTGTGACCATGGTTCAGGCCCCAAACAAAAGTGG